TTGAGTTGTAACTGATGGTGTCATATATTATGCAGATTTGGTATCAAAAATTCATGGTCTGCCATATGCCACTATTTTAAATTAAGCATGTTATAAATCATTGTTAAGATCTCTGTAAAAAGTAGAAAGTCAAAACTAGATTCAAAGTATTTGTGAATAAATAAAAACTTTAAGTCTTATATAATGTTGGTATATTTACTGAACATTAATTTAAACAAAAGATTACAAAATAGGCTTTACATGTACATGTATTCATTTCATAATAATAGACATGACATGTTAACAGACAACTAATTTGTTGACACGTTATGACAGATCTGGTTAATTTGTTGGATTATTGTATGTTTATTAATTAATTACTATTATTGTTTAGTAATTAATATACTCTCAGATTCAGGCTTTTATTAAAGCAATCCCTTGATAGATTCCGAATCAGATCTGTCTGAAAATAAAACATTAATTCAGGCTTATTTAACCATTGTGTGAAAGCTGATTTGTAATACATGAAGATCTGCTGTAAAAATACTCATTTAACAAATTTCAGACAGAGCAAAGCTTTAGCTGCGATGGCGCATATCCACCAGAGTACAGAAATGTAAGTTTGTATACAGGAATATTTCATTTATCATGCCATTACTATGACAACTGCCTGATAAAGCCTGTCTGAGAACAGCAACCTTTCTCAGTCAGTGACTTGAGAACACTATGTTCCTACGCCAGATCAGCACTGATGATGTTTATTGTTGGTATTGTTTAATTGACTTTGCTGAATATTTATGATAATACACAGTAAATAAATTGTTAAAGCAAATTGTACCAAAAATTGTGTTGTGTTATAAAATTATTGGTAAAAACCCTCGGACTACTTTTTTGGCGTATAACCCTCTTGTGGTTACTGTACTTTCAGAAATTAGCGCCCTGAATTAAAAAAAAAGATGCAAAATCATAATAGAGGCATGATAAAAAGAATAACAGGTTACTGTCTTTTGTGAAAGGGATTTCTCAGACTCGGCTAGATATGGTCCGGAAGGGGCTCGGCAAGCCTCGTCCCTTCCAGGACCATATCTAACCTCGTCTGAGAAACCCTTTCTCAAAAGACAGTAACCTGTTATTCTCTATTTATGCATTCTTAAAATGAAAAAAGTTGTCCTTTTAAAATATAAAAAAGTATATACAAGAATTTAACATACTGCAGCTAAGCTTCTATAACGTGAAATTTTCATTCATGTTGTATGACAGTGGTTTTTTTGTTGTAGATTCAGAAAATATATTGAAATTATTTTAATTTATGAGGTTCCCAAGAAATATAGCCACAATGCAATTTCCAAACATGTTACATTTGAGTGACTATAGCATTTTATTTTTTTCAGAGCCAGATATACAAGGAGAGGGTTGAGCCACTGGTACAAAGAGCCATGGAAGGTTATAATGTCACAGTGCTTGCTTTTGGAGCTGTAAGTTTCTATATATTTATTTCAGTCAAAAATTCATCCATATTGTATAGAAGATAATAAATACAATATGTCCTTGATCAGGATTTGCAAAATTTTTGATAAATTTACTGTACATCTTCTAATTAATACATGTACCTTACGTAGAAAATTGGTCCCATTAAAATCCTATCTTTTACCTTTACTTTGAGAGGTCTCCATGGCCTAGTGGATACAGTGGCTGATTAGGAAATTGCTGGCAAATAGCAACCGTGGTTAGAATCCTATTAAGACTTTAAAAATTCTTTCATGTAAGAAAAACTATCCAACTAGCTTAAAGCTGTCAGTGGTTCTACTTAGGTGCCGGTTTTGTGTCTGAAATAATGCATTCTCTTCCCTCACCAGAACAGCTTTGTAAGACACTATATAACCTCGAAAGTGTTGGTGTGTCTTAAATCCTAACCAAAATAAAATTTACTTAGATTGATGAGTAATGCAAAATTTCTATTTTTCCCCAGATTCAACAAAGACCACTGTATTTATCAAGACCTGCTAACCTTAAGAAATGTTTAACTTAATGCAGCATTTAAAATATTGATTTATCCACTTTTAAATCCTTAAAATTAGAAATTACTTCCTGTTAGGAGTGATTGTTTTCTTGTCACTGAAATAGGAAGATTAAGTAAGCTTTGTTATTTCTTGGTTTATGTGTTTGAAGAAGGATATGATTGGGTTGTTTTTTCTTTTCATTTAACAGGCAGGATCCGGTAAAAGCATGTTGATGACCGGCACAGACGATGACCCAGGCATGATACCATCTGTAAGTCTTAAAATTTTCTATTAAATTTATTGGGATGTCTTTCCTATTTTGAAATGCTAAGATATAGAAGAAGATTTGTTTTAGTCATTGCTGTGTGTATGGATTGATTTTTTGTTATAGAAAAATGTGTCAAAATCATAACCATTGATTGATCTGTCTAAGTTGATCACTTTAGTACCTCTGTTGATGAGTGGTTTCAGTCATCAAATTTAGCACTTGACTGGTGGCCCACGGCCAGTGAAAATTAGTTTGGGCCAGTTTAAACTTTAAGAAAATTTAGTTAAATATATAGTAGAATAAAATCAAAACTAGAATTCAGGCCAGTAAATTCAAAATCTTGAAATTAAATGACTGTGGTTTAGGTGGCAAACTGTGAATCACTGCCAGGTTGTCACTGAATGTTCAAGTCTTATCACAGATTTTGGGAATTGTGTGAAGAAGCTATTTTGCGAGTTTATTGAAAGTCGGTGATTCTGCTCAGGTGTTCATATATGCCTGAAATAATGCAAGGAGAGGCCACCATTAGGTCTTCCTCCAACAAATAAAGCTGGATCATTTTATCCCGATTCTTTTTGTGAACATAGAGCCTTATCATATACTATACCCTATGACATATTTTCATTGTAAATTAATAATATGATATAATCTTGTTTTTATATTTTATATAGGCAAACAGAAGTGTTTTTGAGATTGCCAGCAAACAGGGTGGGAAGGATTTCATGATAAGTGTTTCTTATGTGGAGGTAATATGCTTGTTCTATTTTCCTATTACCGTAAGCCTTACCCGGCTGGCTATCTTAAAATTTTAATTTTGATATCCCCAAAATTAATGAATAGCTAAAAACATTAAGCTGTCCAAGTCCTCTTCAGAAGTACAGCAGGTTAAGGGTTTAAATTCTTAGGGTTTGTGTTCTGTAGATGATCTGCAAATATGCAAGTAAGTTGTTGCAAAATTCCGGCACTATTTTTATGCCGGCACTTAATGAGGAAGCATGTAGATTTGACTTGTCTGTCCATCCCATTGTTCTGTTGTTACTTTGTCCATCTCGGCCATCTGTAAACAGACTAAACTGTTGAATATGTGGGCATCTGTGTTGTTTCAAGTTATTATTAGAAACACAAATGTACAAGTAATTTGCATGATGTTATGACCTCTGCTTATTTTACTTTTGATCAAAAATCATTTGAAAGAACAGGATAAAATGTCTGTTTGTGAACATGTTTTCCAATTTTGCTGTAAGAACATTTCTAAAATGCTGTTTTGTGAACATTTACACAATTTATTTTAATTAAATAACAATGTAAATCATAATGTAAATCTGTTATTCGCTTTACATGCAAAAATCTAGCAATGTTCAAAAACATCATTCTGAGTACATTTTGATATCTGTCTGTGCCATTTTACTGATAAAAATATTGTTATGTGAAACATATAAATGTTAAAGATAGATGTAAATTATCAATTCATTGCTCTATAAACATTATTGTTATCTTGATACATGTATATGAACATAAAGAATGATTCTGTAGAACTTGTAACTTGTTTAAATACTAGTACACCAAAAATTTATCATTGTTCTGTGATGATTTTGGTGATGTTAATTTACAGATTGTAGATGAGAAAATGACAGATTTGTTGAATCCTCACACTAACACTATGAACATCAGACAGCACCCAACAAAAGGAATGTACGTTCATACAAGATTATCATTACCTTTATTACATCAGGTTTGAGTCCTCCCATTTAGCTTTATAGGGACAGCATCAAATATAATGCAGGGGTCACTGGGTCAATCCTTTGATGAGGCGAAATTTCTCTGGGACAATTTATCACAGGCATTAATTGAGTTTTATGATCAAATGAGTTGAAATGACTCTTCAAACTTGCTAAAAATTAGTTATAGGTGTCTACTAAAGAAATTGGTAATAATTGGTTAGTTCACCAGGAAAGCAAGTTAGCTTGACCAACCACAGAGTTACCACAAAATATTAAAATTTGCATAAGAATTAACCAAACAGGCAAACAAACATCAGGGCTTGTTTTTCTGTAGCGTGATTTTGTCAGACTTGAAATTTATTAACTTTTTAGTAAGATTTTTTTTTTAATAAACTTATCATCTATAGTGTTGTGTTAAAAAAAGATCTTACATTATGTTTGTTATCATTGTAATTACTTTATATTTACGGTACAGTTTTGTGGATGGACTGTCCGAGATTATTGTGAAGAGTGCTGATGAGATTGCGCAATATTTTGAGCAGGGAACCAGGGCCAGGAAAATGGGAGCCACTGACATGAGGTCACATAGACCCAGGTAGCTATTAATGGTGGCATATTTTTTTGTAACTTTACTGCAAGAGAACATTCATTTAATAAAACAGGTCCTTTATCATTTTGCATCACTTTATGATGAAACTGACGTTTATAGGTCAGCCATTTTGAATTAAGATTTTCAATGGAATTTTTTTCCAGCAATAGAATAGCAAGTTCCTCTTTATAGATACTCAACTTTATAAAAAAACCTCACAAAGTTACATTTTTTTTTTTTTTTTTTTTAGAATACTAAGAGGATATTTTTTCGTTTGAGTGAAATATGGAATATATTTTCACGAAACATGATAAAATGCCACATATTTTCACTCGCCGGGACGGCGAGTGAAAATATGTGGCATTTTATCATGTTTCGTGAAATAAATACCATATTTCACGAAAAACGAAAAAAATATCCTTTTTATTTAATTTCATTATCAAAGAAAAATGGTTACGAGCCCTATTGCTTGCTACACGACTGCAATTGTACAGCGCGCAGCAATATATTATTGCGTCTTGCTTTGCACGCGATATTTGGCGCTTCATTGTGACGTCATGTAAACAACTGTTTAAACGTCTGTAGAGCGTTAATTACTGAATAAAAGATATTGGTGTTCGAATTTATTTTCTTAGTTAGACCCTTTTCTATCATTCTAGATACTTTTCAAAGCAAATTTCAACAAAAATTTGTTTTGTATTTATCAGATTTTTCAAACAAAATGGTGAAGAAGTCCCTCAAAATAAATATGAGTTTTGACTCCGCCCACTTTCATATTTATATTTCATATTTATTTTTAAAAAATATGAAATATATTTGACTGATATAGCACCATATTTCACGGGTAAAATTAAATAAAGCTTGACATTAAAAGAAAAGTCAAATTAGCTTTAATAGTAAATTGCCTACACCAATTATTAAGCTTATATAATTTTATTTCATAAAAGTTGTTTAATGAGAAGGTGTCTTTGTATAAAAACAAAATAGATTTATTTTTTGGAGATGCAGATTCTAGTACAGATGTGATTTAATCATTTGAAACTATTTTGTGATATTTAATACTGGCTTTTCTTTAGTTATCAGCATATGTATTACAGGGCTAATGCAGTGTTTACTGTAATAATTGAGCAGAGAGAGAAGCAGTCCAGTAAAGTTGGTGTACGATCAGTGTTACACATGGTTGACTGTGCAGGTAACTATTTTTTACTTGTTTTTATTTCAACTGATACAAGGGTGTTAAGAGGAACTGCATGTCAAACAACTAATCAGTTTCACTGATGTTATTAAAGATTTTACCAGTTCCGGTACTAAAATACCTTCATCAGGAATATTTCAATGTATATAAGGTCATACTAATATGTTTATGCCGTGATGCAACTTTCCAGGTTATGTAAAATGATATATACTATCATATGCCCTGTAGGTGTGTCCCATCAGGGTCAGGCCAGTACCTGGTGACTCAAGATAGCTAACTTCCTGGCATGTAAGGATATCAATATCTCTCTGTCAGAAATACACCTGCAACAATGAATGGTTATGATGTATTCAAAAGAAGTGTGCATTTTAGTATAACTACTTTGAGTGTTGCATTAAACAAAATGCATGTTTACCATAGCCCAGTACATTGTTATAGAACTTGTTTAATTGAAAAATATTTGTGCATACACTGGAATATTTGTGTTGCTTTTGGTTTGTGTTAATTCAAATGTTACCCTGTAAACTTTTATTTCAGGAAACAATGCCAGCGGTCTGTCTGATCCAGAAGTGCTAGCAGGGTAGGTTTATTTCTATTATTTAATCCAATACAATTAAAGGAGTACAAACTATACAAATTATTTCCTCAAGTTAAAAGACATATCATTGGGCTTCTAGAATCTATTTATTTGAGTGCGTTACATACAGATAAAATCACCCTCGTTCAGATATCTATCTTCTCCTGAATGAAGGGAAGCAAAGTTGAGTTCTTCCTGAAAGAGATTAACATTGCCTTTGATAGGTCTCAAACCCAAAAATTGGGATGCATTTCATACCTCAAGATTACTTCTCATAATTTCTGTTCACAAAATGTTGTAATTAAATTGTCAAATAAATAAATATGGCAGTGGATGTGAGCAATGGGGCAATTTTTTTTTCTCACATACATATATTAAGGATTTCATGAGGTTAATGCAAAATGGATTTATTACAGAGTTCAGGGGTTACAGAATGTGTTGATGGCTCTAGGAGGCCCAAGAAAGGGGAGTGGGGTTCCCTACAGGGATTCTAAGATTACAAGATATCTTCAGGTAACATTTAGATATTGATTGATATCGTCTTCATATTTGTCTTAATTTTCTATACATATATAAAGTAAGGTGAGTGCAGGAGAAAATAGTGATATGAGTTCTTAAGCATATATCTTAGAGTGATATGTACATTTTAATAACATACCATGTTTAAGAATACCTTTTTTACATTATATTGATACTTTTCTCTGATTAATTTTTGAACTTACAATAAATTAAAAGATTGGGAGGGGAGAACAACACATCAAAACACCAGGTCAGTTTCTATATTTATTTAAACTACCGGTTTCGGGTACTATATACCCTTCATCAGGTTATTTTTGAACTTATCATGAGTAAAGTAGGTAGAAAATATTTATGTGCAATATATACAAGTTCAGCTTTTCGTAACATAGTATCAATTTAACTGAAAATGAAACAGAAGGAGGGTATACAACTCTTTTACTTAAAATACACTACTTTGAGTTAACCATTTAACATTGGAAAGCAGGTCAATTTATGTTTACCATGGAGGTATTATTATATATTTTAGGAGTCACTTGGAGGAAATGCCATCAGTCTGTTGTTTGCCCTGGTATCTCCTCTAGATAAATCAGGCCAGGAAAACACGAACACTATGCAAGTTGCTCAGTTTGCAAAGAATGTGAAAAACAGGGTCAAGTTAAACTTGGTAAGTTCCTAGGTTTAAACTCTTTTCCCCAAAGAAATTGATGTATAATAAAAATCCACTGCCACTATTTACATGTAGTAGTACCACTAACAAACATCCACGCTTTTCATTTATCTAGATAGTCCAAAATTTCCATATTCTGTAAAGTCATTATTATTTGTGAGGAACTAATTTTGTGGTTTTCATGGACAGGTCAGTCTTCCAATTTAAGATTCAATAAAATTTCATTTTCGTCTTGTGTAAGATTATTTTGCATCACTTTTATATTTTGCCTTCTGGAAAAATAAACAGTCCACAAATCTAAGAACTCATGAAAATGTTCTATTTGACAAAACCACGTAATTTCATGCCCACAAAATTAAGTATTTTAACAGTAGTTAATTATTATCTTAGAAACCATGTTTGATTCAGTTAGTAGTGAATTTACCAATTTGACTATCTTTTATAATGAATATAATATAAATATTGCTTTTATTCATTTTTTGTTTATTATGCATATACTGTATTAACTATACACTTAAGGACGAAACTAATGAAGTGATTGCTGACCTGAGGGAAGAGATTGGTAAACTGCGGGACAAAATTGCTTCCACATCAGAACCTAGCAAGGAAGATGTTCTTAAAATGGAGGTCAGTTTAGTGTACGGTGGATATGGAAAAATATCCTTTCATGGTTACTCCACATGCAAAATTAATATGATTAAGATCTCTTTTTATTTTAAGATTGGAAAATTAAACTAAATGTTTTTGCTGTGATTCCTGAAACTTCAGTAAATTTCTTGAAACTTGGAAAAACGATATCTAAAATTTTTTTTTTTTTTAAATAGATTTATATTTTGATTGGGCATGTGATTTTACAGCCATAAACATGTACATATTTAAAATACTATATTGTTGACTGTTTGTATAGGACCTGGTGAAGGACTTGCAAATTGCCAAGAAGCAGACCTGGGATGAGAAACAGAGAGCTTCGGGCAGATTTGAGGAGGAGCGGAAAGTGAACCTGGCAAACAAGGTATTTTTAGATTTATAATGATATTTTTATGCTAGGAATATACTCACTTGGGTGATGTCCATGTCCACATCAACATCATGCTTTTGATAAGGTCTTTTAAATTATATCATCCCACTTTGGTAAAGATTTTCATTGTATCACTCAGCCCCACTTTGGTTTTTAATTATATCACAAAACAGTGTTGCTATGAACAAATACAATTGTTAAAATCGGGTATATCAATTTGAACAATGTAAGGGTATAAATTCATAGTAATAAAGATTATTAAATTCAGGGTATATTAAATTGTATATTAAATTGTAATATTCAGGGTTAATTAAATTGTTAAATTCAGGTTATATTAAATTGTTAAATTCAGGGTATATTAGAGTGGGTGTCTGACAACATGAAGAAGGGAAGTAAAGAGCTGCAAGAGAAAGTACAGATGTTACAGAAAGAGAAAGATCAAATAATGGCAGCGTACAAGGAGAAACGAGCCATCGTGGACGAACTTAAAGCTGAATTACAAAATAAGATTGCACAGTACTCAAAATTTGCTGAAAAAGGTGAGAAGTTTTTGATTGGTTATGGGGTTGATACATTTGTTGAAAGGGATAAAGATATTACAATATATGTTTAGAAAATAGAAAGCCAATGGTTTTTCACTTAAAGCAACAGCATTGAAATTTGAGTTAATTGAGGTGTTTTATCACATACCTAAGCTTTGTAACACCGACATGTCCCGAATAAACATATATTTTGATGTAACATCAATTTTTTTAAAAAGTGTAAAAATATATGGTAAAAAAGTGATCCCTCGGAAGCATTAGAATCAGCAAAATTTCATGAAAATTGCAGACTGTTTGATTGAGTCTGTACATGAGGGATAATGAAAAAGGCAATATTTCTCATGCCCCCTAGCACTGGCTTGAGTTGTACTTAATCTTGAACACTTAATGTGCTGGAATCAATGATCCTGAAGGACCAGAATAATAACACTGAAGTGAAGTCATGCTAGATGTGAACCTCTGCATGAATAATAAAGATTATTTTTGACTGTTAACTGTTTTAATTATGATAAGTATATGATAAATAGAATATGATTTACATTTACCTATACTACTTTATTTACTGAACTTGTTGCATGAAATAAGATAATGCACACCAGATTTTTGTATGCGTTTACATAGTAATTTGTAACTTTCTCAGTCGAGAAAATGAATCGATCTGATAAAAAAGTGGATAAAAAGACACGTAAGTATAAGGCTGCACAAAACGTACAAATATTGTTACATATCACTTTATCTTATTTATAGAGGATATTTCTGTGTGAGATTGAAACATATCTCACAGAAGTAACACCACATGAGAGGCAAAGCAAGTGAAACTATATAGTTGAAAACTTAAAGCTCTAAGCTTAATAGTGTATGACTACACTATGATCTACCTTAAGACTTGTAAAGTGAAATGATCATGACTGATGATGAATTTTAAGTCATTATAATTGAGCCACGTCACGACAAAACCAACATAGTGAGTTTGCGACCAGCATGGATCCAGACCAGCCTGCACCTCCTCGCAGTCTGATCAGGATTCATGCTGTTTGCTATCAGTTTCTCTACTTGTTATAGGGTTTGTAAGCGAACAGCATGGCTTCTGATCAGACTGTGTGGAGGGGCAGGCTGGTCTGGATCCATGCTGGTCGTAAACCCATTATGTTGGTTTTGTCATGACGCGGTTCATATCATCATCATCTTCAGTAATTGCCTCACTCTTCAAAGAGCATACTTGCGATGAAATATATCTGTGTAGTGTGTCATACAGGCTAACCATTGTATTCATTGGCTCCAATGTAATTACAGGTGCATTAATGGCCGTGAATAAATAATAAAAAAAACAAGCTATATTTCACATGAATACTGTTCACTGTACCTGTTAAATGTTGTTATTGTATTTTATGTACATGTATATATTGTAGTGATATTGTTAATCTTATAGATCAAATATATGTATTGTTTCTTTAAGCTTTTTCTGATATAAAAAGAAGATATTTATTCATCAAGATTTTTTTTGTCAGCTGCTAAATATAATAGACTAGCCATATTGTTAATGAATATTGTGTGGAAATTTTTTAAAAAACCATCTTGCCATATATCTTATGATTATTATGTTCTGTATTTTCATGTGCTGTGGACTGACATCAGTTTCGGCTTTATTTAATTTTGGAAACAATTTATTTAATTGGAAACAAAAACTTTACCAATTGTTAAAGTACCTACTTTTATCATTATTGTAAATTCAAAACATCTCATGAATTCAGGTAAAGCATTGAGGCAGAGAATAAAGCTCTTGTAACTGCTATACATAACTGAAGGAGCAACTCCGAGTAGAAAAACTGAGAAACTGAAAACCCTAAACAGCAATGTTGAAGTTCAAGAAAGACAACAGCTGAAAAAGAGAGGGTAGGACAGATTAAGCTCCTCCTTTTGAACATTAAGCTCCTCCTTTCAAAATTTAAGACCTCCTTCAAGATGATGCACCTCCTACTTTCAAGATTAAGCTCCTTTCAAGATTTAGCTCCTCCTACTTCAAGATCAATCTCCTCCTTTCAAAATTTAGCTCTTCCTACTTTCTGTGTTCGAATTTAATGTAAGTATTTAGAAAAGAAGGTTCATGTATAATGATTTAATAGGAATTATGTAATTGTACAAAATTGAATACAACTTTAATTTGTAACTTTTCATTATCTTTTTTTGACATTTAAAGAAATTGATTGGATGTTTCAGGAAATTTTATGTTGAAAAATTGTAAGTAAAAATTTCTAGGGTCTATTAAAAAGCATTATTGGGTAATAGCATTGTAATTTTAAGCACATGTTATATATTTTACTGTTAGTTTAATGGATAAATAATAAAAAAAAAATTGTTGAAAATATCAACATTTATATTTTTAGGGAGCAAAAGGCACAGATGGCTTCAATGAAGGGAAGTGCAGAACTGCGTGCAGAAAGTTGAGGTAGGATTTTTATCTTCAGCATAAATAAGTCCATGTTAAGACATTAGTAAAGTGAGGAAAATGGGAAAAATGATATGAATCATAGAATTTTTCATAATTCAATATATCTTGCACAGATGTAATTTGAAATTGTCATAGTGTGACTTTCCAAGGGACTTTTAAGAATGTGCTCACATATGACAGGGATTCTCCTAATACAGTCTGAAAGTGAGATAATAAAGTTTTCAAACAATGTGATAAATCTTTTTGACTGTATGAAGGAGATATAAAAAATGCAATTCAACATACTTTAAGTGTTTGATGCAAATAAATAAATATGTCTGTAAAACATGTATATTTGCATGTACATTGTACATATAATCTTAAAATTAATTATATTTTTACATGTATTTTTTTATTATATTAAAGCATTAAAAACACAAATAAAGTAGCTGTGTTAAAATCCTTACACTTAACTTCAGTACTCTTTACAAATTTTGGCTACAAGTAGCTTGTTGAAAATAGTTTTCTTTATGTATACTGACACTCGTTTTCCTTATCTAAGTAAAAATAAGGGGGGAGAATTGGGGAATGAAGTACTGAAAATAATATTATAGAAAGAAATGACAATTTTAGAATCTGCATTGCATTGTAATCCTATCTTTGACTTCTATACTCTCCAAAATTTTGTTTTTGATGAAGCATTAAGTTGCATATGTGTGTTTCAGTAGCGATCACACTTAATTACTTACCATTTCACATAGCACCTTTATATCTTAGATATTTGATGTGTTCTGTTTCTTGATGAACCTCTGTCCCTTATTTGTAGAGGTATCTGGTAGATAAAGTCAAGGTCAATGAGGTTAAAAATAGATTTTTTCCAATATTTTCTTTTAAATTTAACAAATATGTGCATTAGGAATTATCCATCAATATAATGGATAATCTTGTTTGAAAATGAAATGCTAAACAAACCTTTTGGATATAAACCATAGTATATGCTTACTCTGTTTACAGCTTGAAGAAAGGAAGAAACTTGAAGAATCCAACAAGTCGCTGGTGGCCGAGGAGTTAGAACGTACCAGACTGGACATTGACGCGGAGAAAGCTGAGATTCAGATGCGTGCAGCCGAGGGGAAGAAATATTCCACCAAGGAGGGTGAGGAACTTGAGATTAAAGTGGCGGAAATGAAAGCGGAGAAGTCAGTCGTCACACTACAGGTACATGACCTCTTATTCTCCACCAAGCATCTACAAAAACGCAAAAGTACATAGTCAGAAATATAAAAACTTGGTATTAAGAAAAGCCCCAATTTATTTCCATTAGCCTAGTCCAGCAAAAAAACACCCAAAAAATTAGAGAAAACAAAAGCTTTAATTTCAAACATTGGTTTTTTTATCCTTTTCTGCAAAAGAAACATGATTTTAATGCTCTAAAAGCCTTAACCGTAAAAATATCAATAAGTATATTGTCAAAATGAAAAGAAATGTTCTGACCACCACATAGTTCTAGACTGTTCTAACCTGGTATTTTCCTACATTTCTACAGTTGCAGTGTATACAACAAGAGAAGGCAAGACTGGCTAAAGAATTAGAGGAGATACATAGACTACACAAAGACGAGATGGAACTACAACAACTTCAACATTATCAGGTTTGTTAGCCAAATATAAATGTCTGTATATTCACTATAACCCATGGAATTCCTTATATGCAATGTAATTCATTATAACCCATAGAATTCCTTACAACTCAAAGGATTCCTTATAACTCATGGGATTCCTTATCACCCATAGAATTCCTCATAACTCCTGGAATTCCTTATAACCCATGAATTTCCATATAACCCACAGAATTTCTTATAGACCATGGAATTTCTTATGACCCATGAAATTCTTATAGCCCATGGAATTCTTATAGCCCATGGAATTTCTTATAACCTGTGAAATTTGTTATAGCCCATGGAATTTCTTATAACCCACATAATTTCTTATAACCCATGGAATTCTTTAACATCATGGAATTTCTTGTGACCCATGGAATTCCTTATAATCCATTGAATTCCATATAACCCATGGAATTTTTTATAACCCATGCAATTTTCTCTGATTTGCTCTTAAATGGGGTTTCTACCTGACACATAAATTGTTTGCTACAATTAATCCAAAATTGTTGTCCTACTAGATTTTCATAATAGACTTGGCTGGCTTTGAAGCTGACACTGTCTATTATTAATAAATAGGGTTTATTTTCTCAGTTTGCATGGAAATACTATTATCCTGGAGGAAAGTCTATATGGCTAACATTAACAACTTAAAGTGAATTGTTCTATAATGGAAGGTCTGTAATACAAGATTGTATTCAGTATTAGACAACAAACCACAAAAGAATTATATATGGATGTTAACTTTATTTGTTTGCAAGTGTGATATACATGATTCATTATTGCATTTTATATAGCAGTTATCAAAATTTTGTAGAATAAAATAATTCATACTAAATCATTTAGAACTTCATCAGATTTGTAAAAATATCTTTGAGAAACTTTATATATAGTTTATATATAAATAGAAAAAAATGAGTTCAGATGTGTATGAACAAGCGGTCTTAATCAATATGTTGGAAATGTAATGAAAGGCATAATGGGTCTGACATTATATAACTTCCCATATGAAGCCTTCATGGGACACAGCCTGAATCCGAAAAAAAAAAGGTTTGGTAATATTAAAAATTTGGGACGACATCACTTTTTTTTTCTTTCCTTTTTTCTTTGTTTTGTGAATCTTGTCAAGAATTGTGTTTTGTAAACACCGGTGTAAATGGAAAAACTAAATCACGAGCTGTCTAAATCAGAACTTAAGACTGTTAAGAAGTGAAAGATAAGCTCAAAATAGCTTATATGAGTTATGCTTTCTTCGTATAATTTTGTGTAATTTTCTGGGAAAAAACTACAACAAAAAATAACCAATAAACAAACAGTATATTTTTGTCATTTTTTTTTTTTGTTTTTTTTTTGTTCTTTTTTTGATAGTTACTTTTTTTACATGATATTTAACTGGTATTATGTATGTCATTTTTATGGCTTACAGCCATGTAGTTGTCAGATAAATCTTTACGGCAACATATCAACTATTTCTAAACATTAGCGTCACAAAATAGTTCTCTTCAAATGTTTTAAAGTGTACTGTTTAATCTAAATTTTGTAAAAAGAACGGAGAAATCGAAATAGAAAATCGCGCAAGGAAATGAATCTGTGTTAATAGCAAATGTCACTGTTCCTAGTCTTGGAAAAGAATGTGAAATGTAGTGGACTTAATATTACCATAATTACAGAAAAGTTACTTCAGTCATAGTTAAAACTGAGCCATTCATTGCAGGCGGTGAAGTTGTTCATCTGATATGTTATGGGGAAAAAAAACCATTTAATATAGCCTCCGACAAACAAGTAAAAGACTTATTGAAAATTATAAAGAAAACTTATTGAATTTGAAATCTGGTAGTGAAAAAAGTCAAGAAGTTTAAAACTAATTGCTTGAAAAATTATCTGGAGGTCTGCCGTAAGCCATTATGGCCCTTTAGGCCTTTGATTTTCTGTTTTTCTGGCCAAATCTTAATTTCTGCAGCAATTCCTCGTAGAACATCTTGGTACATGTACATGACTGTATGGTAAAAGATTTATGAAATAAATTACTTTGCATGATTATATATTTCATTTAAAAAAAAACAGTATTATGTAAAGCAAAAACCAAACAAACACTTTAAGGCTCATGTGCAAAACTTATTTTAAAACGGGCACGTAAATAGTGTTATTGAAAATAAAAGAATAACGTAAATTCTTATATAAAATAACAGCAGTCAAGATGAGGTCTTTGCAGTTTGTGTGTGCGTGTGGTAGATAGATATTTCATTTAGAAAAACCGTTTTATTTTGTTTTCCTTTTGAAAAAAGGAAGATATTTTTTTACAAGGAAATGTTGTTTTTTTCTTCTTAATTCAGCCATTTGGTATTTTTCACCTCGCAATAATTGCATTTTTGTTGTTGATAGCAATGTTATCTTTTATTTTTTTAAATGGGAATGTCAGTTTTTACCACATAAAACTTTATTAAGACAGTAAAGAGCACAAAATCAGCTGGTTTGTAGAATGATTGTTTTACCTGTCTATTGTTCGAGACTGAAATAAGGCCAGGAAGGTCACCAGCCCACCTGGTGTCTAAATTAAACAATAAGGGTATAAGGTTTCTCTTGCTTGACGTCTGACTTATCAAAAAACTTACATCAATGTAATGAAATTTTTTAGCTCAACTATTTATAGAATATTGAGAGCGACACACTTTGATTTAAGGAACTCCACTAAAACATAAAATTTGAAGATCATACACATATGATGTAAAGCACTTATAATGCAAAAATTGCAAAGGGTAACAAAAAAATATACTCAGAATTAAATCGAAATCGATTTTTATGCGATTCTTAGCCAGATCTTAGTAGTTTTTGGCCATTTTTGATGATAAAAAAGGCTATTCTGGAAAAACAGGGTGAGGGAATGAGCTGAAAATTTGCACACAAGTTATTAGATAAAACCACAATCAATTTGTACACAAATCTTGGAAAAAATATTTTCCATCCCTTCAAGTCAAAAAACCTCACGGGAGCCCTTAAAGTTTTAACATGCAAGTTGGTATCTCCAAAACTACTAAAAGGAATGAATTGAAACTTCACAAACTTATTTTAGAGCATAATAGGTGGTTACTTTCTAAAACCCATAACATTAACATGGATTTTGACAAAATTATGGCGCTTTTATGATTTTAGAAAATTCTACATTTTCAAGGCTTTTGTTTTACTATCAAACACTGAGAATAGTCAAGCATGCTATCTTAATGAAAGCTCTTTGTTATCATAACATATTGTCTCACAAACTTAACATTGCAAAATAATATTGTAAAATATTGTTATTGCTTTGTTGCCCATATAAAAATTGGAAAATAGGACGTTGATGTTTTGTACTTATAATCCACATGTATTTTAATTCTATTTTTAGACATTCAGGAATTATCGTGAAATGTTTGAGGAGCAGAAGGTGGCTATAGAACAACGTTACCGCCACTTGCTTGACGATTCTATTCAGGACGCAGTCTTCCTGTCCGCACGCAACAACGAACTTGTCCTTGAAAATCAGGAGCTCAGACTACGTATGATATGTTACTATAAATAGATTGTCCTTGTTCTAACTTAAATCCTTTCTTTCTTAGCTTAAAGAGATTGTTATATCCTGTATGTCTCAGATGTTTTGGGATCTACAAATTGAATATAAGAGTGATCAGTTATAGTTGATGGAAATTATCTATCATTTGAAATTAGGTTTTTTACTTTTTAGTGCAAAATTTGGTAAAACAGCAGCAGCTGCTATGACATCATTGTGGAATACCCGTCTGCTTTCCCTTGCAATCAGATCACTGGCTGATCAATTTTCTGTATGGCAAAAAGTGGAAATGTTAATGTTTCTCCTTTCCTTAAGTTCCCAAAATTTCAAGAATGAAAATATTTTTTCCTACTGAAATAACAATATGGTACAAATTTGGTTTGAATGATTAAGATCTCAGTATATCTAATACTCAGTTGTCTACATATATAATAATAGATGTGGACCTGTTACTGTCACCATTAATATCAGAAAATGTTAGAGCTCAATTTACTTAAAATTTTAAATATAGCTTGTAAAAAAGAAGAAAATTAGCAAAAAATAAAGAATAAAAAAATACATTAGATGTACCTATATACCTGAATACCCAACCCTATCTTGCATGGGTAGGGAAGGGGAAACATTAATATTTTCATTTTTACAGTGGCCTGTGTCCAATCTTAGTCATTACAATGCCATAAAATTGAATTAGGGGAACCAGTCTTATAGTATAAACTAGTATGCTGAGTAATGCAAAGATTATTTTTCTGAAAAATTGCATTTTTTTAAAAGAAGAAATCTTTCCTTTTTTTCAGAGCTCAATGAAATGAAGGACGTTGTCACAAAATTGGGTGGAAGGTTGCCGAGTTCCGTGGAAAATCCACTCTAAACGCCGACCATGATAAAAGCATTTGGACAATCACTGTTAATACTTGTGATCAAAATCGATAAAACCAAAGAAATACTGGTAAAAGACTTAAATGTAATCAAAAACTGCAAAACCAAAGAAAAACAAACCTGTAATATGTTATCAAAAATCAACAAAATTGAAGGAAAAAAGACATTCTATTTATGCAAGACCCTACCCACCATCCCCACAAATGCCCCTCCCCTAATGTTTAATGTTTCAATTCAAACAAGTTTGATTATACAAATTTTTATATCATTTGAATCATCAATGAATTAAAATCAGTTTGACTGTATTACTGAAAGCAACCAGGAAAAATTTTGTAAATATTCCATGTGGGGTGGAGTTAAGAACATTATTTTGCAATTTTTTTATTTATTGGATGAAAATTAGAGAAAAGATGCTGGACATTCCTTTGAATGCTGGACATTCCATTATATATTTTTGTATATGTTTCTTTTTTTTTTCTAAATCTTTTGAGATTTATTATTTTATTGTGTTGTTGTATTTACTATGCATTTATTTAGTTTTCTACAGCATTTACATGTACATGTATATTTGAACTGATTATTCATATCCTTGCCACAATATTTCCCTTTGAAATTATTTTGAATTAAATTAATGATTGTGTTAAGACCTTCAGATTGTTGATAACTTTTACAGTTTACTGAATAATGAAGATATACTGTCAAAAAACTATTCAATGGCACTTTAAAGGGACTCCATTGAGATTTTTTGACATAGCAGGGTTGGAAATATCTTTTTTAGATTAATGTACCATTTAATAAAGATCCAGTTCAATAATAACCTGTGTGCAAAATTTCTGATCATTCGCTCACTTTGATCAAGTTTTTATATTGTGCAAAATGACAAAAGAAAGAAAATGATTAAAAAGTGATTACTAGTAAACATAAATTTTATAACTTGTATCAGATTCACAAAAATCTGAGTGTACTTGTTCATTATCTTTTGCATATTTTTCTATTTTATTGATGTATGCAAGAAATTCAATTTTTTTTTTATTTTAGAATTTTGTACAATAGTGGAGTCCTTTTAAGATAAAAAAAATTAAGAACAGGAGAACCCTTTGATTATTGACATCAGTTTCAAGTTCGCCAAGCCTGTTTTGAATGTATTCGTCTGCTGGCAAATTTTAATATTGTGATATCAAAATCCCTTTGACTTCTTATGGACTGTCCAAAACTCAAATCAGGGCAAGTCCATTACACAATTTCAGGAGGATAAGTGTTTAGAACATAAACAGATTTTTTTCTATCTCAAATTAGTCATTGAAATAATTGTGAATGCTATATATTATATTATCTGCTGCAAATACGTCTGTGATAATGAATGCAATGAATTTTTCAAACATATATTTTGTTCCGTCCAAACATTGTGCATTGTTAAAATGATATACATGTATGTATACATTTGAAGAGTTTGCTGTTTTTCAGATTCTATATTGTGAAAATTTTATTATTGTCAGTGTGTTTTTATACTTTCGTTAATGAAAATTTTCAGATTGTTACATTATACTTTTCCAAGGGCCTCAGTGGAGGTCCTTTAAGATGTTACTTCATAACATTTAAGAGAAATGGTATTATGAATTTTTTTTAAAGTAATAAAAAGTTATACATCAAACCCTAATTGTATAGGAATTACGAGAGGGCAATTTTTAAAAGTGAGACTAAAAAAGGTGTTGGAGAACCACACTAAATACTGTATTCTGGTATATACCGGACAAGGCACTTGAATGTTTAAATGCTAAGATCTCAGCTTTTCATGCAGAAATGCATTTACAGATGACTAATGCATCTCCTCACACCAATTTACGATTATGAATGAAAAAAAGTAAGAATTGTTGAAATAGCGATAATTTTCTACTTGTGATCAAGATTTCTGTCAAGCGTCTACAGGTTCTGCTCCTGCTCCAACACTGTAGTGAGTTAAATCCATTTTATAAACCTAGTTTTTCATGCAAAATTTTGGTGCTGGCACCAATAATTTAAAGTGACAAAATTTAAAAATACATTTTGTATAAACAAAAAGTGTAAGGACCTTCGTTGTCATGTTAAAGACAGCAGGTGTTTTTTTAATATTTGACTTTAATGGCATATTTTGATATACATGTATTTAATGGTTGCATAAAGTCATTGTCCAAAAAATGATATTCATGTATATCTTGAGAATTTTTACTTTGTTCGAAACCTTCAAAATAAATGAGGATTTTTGATTACTGGTGATTTTCATAAAAACTGTGTTTGATATACTTTCTTCCAGCTTAATATCACCACTTCTTTAAACATCCTCCACCCTCCAATAAGAAAAGAAAACAAGAAAAAACAAAAAAACAAAGCAATATTGTGAATACTCTATGTAATATTTTCTGTTGTAATTAAACTGAGTACCATATTTATCCTTGTTTGCCTTATTTGGTCTTTCTGATCAAAGGGAAGTAAGCATGTATTACTGGAAAAACTTGAACTGAACAGATGCATACGAGGACTACAGTATTTCAATACATAGAAAATTGTAATAACTTACTTTCTTTTTAATTTTTCTGGCAGTATTTTGTAGTGAACGCCATCTTTATAATGAAGACTTACACACTGATAATTTCATATATTTAACTTTAACTTTCTTATACAAATTTCCAATTTCTAAATTTAATATGGAATTAGATATAACATAGATTGTATAACAATAACATGAACTAGAAAAATAAATGGTACACACACTGATATGAGTTGTTTTTGATATACATATATTTCTCCTCATGAGTTGTTTTAATATACATATATTTCTCCTCGCCAAGATTTGCTATTTTGGTGGAAGTGTAGTGGAAACATTTAAAGTTTGCAGCAAAGCAAACTTTAAAAAATCTCTCCTGCTAGAAAGCATAAACAAAGCATATTGTTTGAAGTGACTGAAATTAATAATTCAAAAATCAGTTACAAAAAAAAGTTTTACTCAATCTATAAAATACCCCCTTTCCCCCCCCCCCCCCCCCCCCCCCCCCCCCCCCCCCCCCCCCCCCCCCCCCCCCCCCCCCCCAAAAAAAAAATCCTTCATTGTAGCAAATTGGGCCAAAAAGTGTGCATACGACTTACTGAAATATTATACCTTGGTAATGTAAATGTGATAGCAGTCTGTGCTTTTATACAAACTCTATAATGTAAATGTGATTGCAGTCTGTGTTTTTATACAAACTCCTAAGCAATGACCCCCGTTGCTTTGCTACACAAACAAATCAAATCACTATGAGGAGTTTGGCGTGGAAAGTGCATTTTTAGCTCACCAGAACCAAAGGTTCAGGGTGAGCTACTAGTAACTCTGGCGTCCGTCATCATGCGTCAACAATCGTCTTCTCTGAAACTGATGGGCAGATTTACTGTAGCATCCTTGTGACAGTCACACATAAATTTGCTCATGCTATTCAATTGGCCCCTTCTAGAAAAACCTTTAAACATCTACAGAACTAAATGAAAGATGATCACCAATCTTTGTCTGTAGCATTCTTAGGTAGTGTTTTATCAAGTTTGCTCATCTACTTCTGATATATTTGATACCACGTGAACTACTTTCTTGTTATGAGACTACAGACTTTGAAATTTGGACCAGAGGTGTAAGTTTTTAAGCTGAATTGAATTTTGATAGCAGCTGACCTACTTGTGATTTTTATGCCCCCACAATGTGGGAGCATATAGCGTTGCACTTGTCCGTCCGTCCGTCAGTCCGTCCGTCCGTCCGTACGTCCCGAAATCTTGTGAACGCAACTCCTCTTAAACCGGATGGCAGATTTTGCTTAAACTTACAGGGATGAACAACCTTAATGTGTAGATGGTAGTAAAGGAAGGAATTTTCGCTGCGACCAAATTTAACAGAATTATGGCCCTTTGTTGATTTTTTCACTAGATACTATGTAGAAATTTTGTGAACGCAACTCCTCTTAAACCGGATGGCAGATTTTGCTTAAACTTACAGGGATGAACAACCTTAATGTGTAGATGGCAGTAAAGGAAGGAATTTTTGCTGCGACCAAATTTAACAGAATTATGGCCCTTTGTTGATTTTTTCACTATATACTATGTAGAAATTTTGTGAACGCAACTCCTTTTAAACCGAATAGCAGATTTTGCTTAAACTTACAGGGATGAACAACCTTAAGGTGTAGATGGTAGTAAAGGAAGGAATTTTCACTGCGACCAAATTTTACAGAATTATGGCCCTTTGTTGATTTTTTCACTATATACTATGTAGAAATTTTGTGAATGCAACTCCTCTTAAACCGGATGGCAGATTTTGCTTAAACTTCCAGGGATGAACAACCTTAATGTGTAGTTGGCAGTAAGGGAAGGAATTTTTGCTGCAACCAAATTTAACAGAATTATGGCCCTTTGTTGATTTTTTCATTATATACAATGTAGAAATTTTGTGAATGCAACTCCTCTTAAACCGGATGGCAGATTTTGCTTAAACTTCCAGGGATTAACAACCTAAATGTGTAGATGGTAGTAAAGGAAGGAATTTCCACTGCGACCAAATTTAACAGAATTATGGCCCTTTGTTGATTTTTAGTTTTCAACTTGTGGCACATGTAGTCCAAAAAATATTTGACCTAGAGTCATTAGATTGACAGAACAGTGGCGTGTGGGGGCATCCGTGTCCTATGGACACATTTCTAGTTTTTATATCATTTGACTTACTTTCTTGCTTTTTGTGGTACAGACATGAAATTTGGACCAAGGGTGTAATTTCTGATGCTGAGTTGAATTTTGATATCAGCTGGCCTACTTTTGATATTTGTTACATTGTTCGACCTATTGTGTTTTTGGGTACATTTATATAACCATATAGAAGCATAAAATATTTGTTCTCCCAAACTGTTAACTTCAAACATCTACACCTAACATAATTTGCATCTGACATTCTGTGTATTCATTGATAGAAGTTATAAAAATTGTCCCATCAAAGTTAACCCTGCTCTAGTGGTCAATTATTCTATATTTATTCTACATAGTCTCATAGGAACACACTTGCAACATAGATATTTTTAACAAAATCTTTCCAAAATATCAGGGCAAACTATTTCAATTTATATAGTGAATAATGAAATGATGGGCTAGATGAGTGTTCTAGTTTCATTTTAGTGGCCCTATTGTTTATCATGACGAAAAAGAAGAAAAAAAACAGTCAGTACATGTAATTGTTGTGAAAGTATATTACTAGAAGGGCATGTTAAAGTTGAGCTGAACTTACCGAAAGAGCAGGACTTGCCTTTCAGCAAGCTCATTTGAAAACACTGAAAAGCAGTTGTTTCTGGTGAGCGACTCGTGCTCATCATGGCCCTCTTGTTTCATTTATTTTGATTGTTCATTGAATTGAATAAAAATATTTGTGAATATTGACTACATAAGCAAATTTTCATCGCTGAAAGCCTCAGTACTAGAGCATATTCAATGTATATTTTACATGAAACATCATGTAGTGGACCTCCTACGAGGTTGTTGGTTTATACAGAATTTATTTTTGTGTAGGAAGCTAAAAACTTTTACACACACTTTCGAATCCGTTCCTGGAACCAACCAGTACTGAGCAATGATTGTAAAGTTTCTTGCTCAAGGAAACAACGACTTGACCTTGACGGGGTTTGAACCCATGCGGCTAGCGATCATTACATTACTAGTCCGACGCGTAGGTTGAGTTTAATATTTTTCATTAAATTTGTTTACTCATTTATGTAACGTTCTAAACTGATAATTTTTGTCGTTCACTGCATTTTAAAATAACTTACTTTTTTTAGTGCTCGCCAATTTTTTTAAGCCAATCACCGACGAGGATTTTTCAAATTTTCAGGTTACAAATCTTAATAGAACAGATTTTATATAAACTGGACTTTTTATATTATAAAACGCAAGTGGGCGGAGCACTAAGCCGGTTAGAGTGCATATTGGATGTTCTTCGTAAATAAGAAAGCTACAGTCGCTTCGCAAGCTCCGCTCCTTTTTAGCTTTCTTATTTACGAAGAACACCCAATATGCACTCTAACCTATACATAGTCAAATTTATAGCTAATTTGATGCGATTTTGTCGTGATTTGTTTGTTTGTTTCATTTTACGCCTTTTCCCAACATAATTTCAGTCATATAGGCGGGTAGTTTCCTAACCATCGTTCCTGGAGAGTTACACCAGTACTAGACTACCTTCCTCCGTGCTAAACTACCAAAGCATCTCCCGGGGATCGAACCCACGCCAGAGAGGTAATCTTGATTAGAAGTCATCGAATCTAACCCCTCGACCACGGAGGCGTGAATTCTTCTTCAGACAACATGAAGGACGATCGACATCGTTAAGATGGTCCTTACAAATGTGATCTTTGAATCATGTGTTTTATTCTTACTTGACATATACGAAACGTCATAACTCTGAACGCAAGTTTGAATGCCATTGTGGAAAATAAGAACAGAAAGAGAAATATTGCCCATAAATTTCGTATTTACGATCTCTTAATAGTGCTTTAATATGCACTAGCAAACCTTCGTGCACCTATTGTTTATCAAAATCAACTTTTTTATCTTTCACATAACATCAAGTTGTTTATGAAGTTGTTGAATATCGATATTATATAATCTTTCCCCTATGCAGAATGCGCATGCACGAAATGCAACATACGTTTCTATGGAAAATTGGTATCGTAAAACGACCTTAATGCTTTAAGGCAAGCAAGTTGTTAAACTCGTATGATTAGAATCTTGTATAAAGTAAGGTGAGAAAATAAATTCCAGGGTGGTTAATATATTTTGACGTGACGTCATATGCGTTATATAAACACGGCCGTGCAATACCATTTTCACGGAGATGCAAAAGCGACACGGGTATGTGATAAACATGTAAGTTTTATACAGGATTTCTTGAACGAGTTAAATAACATTATATTATGCGAGCCTCTGGCTGGCATAATATTATTTTATTAAACGAGTTCAATAAATTTAGTATTAAACTTACACAACATTAATACTCTATCTATCATGTACCAAAAATAAAGACCTTATTGAAGTGAAAAAGAACTATTATTTATTGACGCGCCTATGTTATAGCGCTAACATTTACCGCGTCTTACTTATATAACGAAAATGACAGTCACGTCAAAATATATTCACGGCCGGGCAGTACCAGTTTTACGGAGACGCAAGAGCAGCATGAGTATGTGATAAACAGAATATATTGAATGAGTGCATCAACCGACTGAAAAGGCTGTTTATATTAGATATAACCACCATTAATATAGTCCAACTATAGTTTTTCTTGACGTGTTAGAATGGAAAAACATCTTGATTTGTTTTGCTCTGTGTTATACACATAGCAAGATATGTCGTTTAGATGTCCGTGGGCATACGGCCTTTGTGATTATATTACTGCACATTTACATTTTAAGGGAGCATACTTTTTTGTCCGCAACTGTTATCCATTTGATTCCATTATGAACTTAGACTGCTTCGAAGAAAGTGTAAGCAGAATCAATAACACATGTGTACGCAGTATCTTGAGAGTGTACACAGTATCATAATGTCTATTTCTTATAAAAAGTTCGTTTTAAGACATTTTTCGTACAAAAGAAAAATTGCAAAGATTGAAAATATATTTGTGAAACTGGTTCTACAATAAACTAACTTCCAGATGTGTGAAACTTTCAGTTTAAGAAAAATTTTCTCAATTTCTGTAACATTTCAACGCT